CCCTGAATGTAATTTTGGTTCTTTTCTCTTGGTCTGGTCGCCAACGTACTAAGGCGCTCCCGGAACAGTTGCTGGTGAATGAAGTTGAAACCGACACGAAAACAAACCACTTCTTTAAAGGTTTGAATCGGCATACATGGGAAGGGAGGTGCCTACAAAGTCTCGAAAAACTTTGCAATTTTCCAATCTTTCCCAAGGCACCAGATAGACGAGGCATCGTGGACAATGTTAACATCTCTTCAAATGCAAAACAAGTTACCGGCCTTCGCTTGCTGGGTTTTCTTCGACCCAATGTAACTGGCGAATATTTTTTCTCTGTTGAGACTAATGGATTTGTGGAGTTTTGGCTAAGTAAAAGCATTAGTTGGAAAGGGATTAAAGGGGGAGCGAAAATCGCACACGGCTACCCAACAGGCAAGCTTCAAGAATCTCTAGAATCTTCTAACTTAAGTGTGAAGTTGTTAGCCCAACATGCGTATTATATAGACATAGTGTATGCTCGGGGCGAAATTAGAAATAATAATGGCCCTCAAGTAAAACTTGCCTGGAAAAGACCCGATAAAAATGTCTTCGAAGTTATCCCTGGGGACTTTTTTGCTCTGTTCAAAAATGACATTGACATGGCTGAAATGAAAGTTTACGATGACGATTTGCCCGACGTACTTGCCTGTGAATCAGTACGCCTTAAATTTGCGAACGAACTCATGAAGCCGGAGAGGATCACTTACTTAGAAAGCTCAGCAGTGAGGAACGCATTAAATTTTTGCGATTACACACCCAGTTATCTTCTTAATCCGGCAAACGTAGCCGGTTTTAAACACAGTCATGGAGTTTATAAACATGTCCACAAAACGTAAACTTTACCCTATTCAAGTGTCGATGGAATAACAAGGGGAGGAGCAGCATTCTTATCTGAATTTCCTTTGGAAGAACGAGAAGCTCGCTCGGTAGTCGACAGATACACAGCTGCACTCGAGAAAAGTTACGCAGGGTGAGTCGCTTGTTGATAATGTCTTGGAACAATGAAAGGCAGCACAATGGCAATCAGTTTTTTTTCTGGGGGTAGGGGACCTGTCTAAGAAATTTTATAATGACAGGAGCCTATATAGTCTGCTGATAAAAATGACTAATGGCTTTGATTTATACTATCAGGTGCAGTATTACAGAAAGCTTCCAGTCTCCAATGCAAAATGCACTCCTTAGCAACTGGTAGATATATGTTTAAACTTTTTGTGCAAATGAAAGGCTCCGAGGCACCTGACTGAAAATAGAAATCGTACCCACTTTATAAAAGTACTTATTTTCACCGAGTTACAATTCAGCCTTCCATGCACGGTTTTTCCAATCATCTCATCGCGTCTCAACTCAGCACGGTTAACTATTTTAGTTCAACTCGATTACACGCATCGCAATTAGTCGACGCTCTACACAGTAACTTCGGCGAAACTAAATTTCCTTGGGATAAACCGACACAATCGCCAGCTGGGACGATTCTACTTGATACAGCTCCTATTCCTTGGGTATTTTAGCCACATAAAGAACATGTCGACTTAAATCTTTCAAACAAAAATTCAGCATGCCGATTGGGCTTAAGAGGGAGCATTCTGGTTGTTTTTTGGGGAAAAGGGTAGAAAAGTTATACACACTGAACCAGCAGGAGCCGGCTCCTGGAACCAGTTAGTCCTCTCGGGGCTCAGAGCCGCACCTTGTTGTGGTGCTGGACTATCTGGTATTTGTCTACTAATATCATAGGTGACGAATCACTCCTTAATTTTGGCGCGAAATTTCAGCGTTAATTTGTAATTTCACATGTGAAATTACCAAATTGCCATGGCAACCTGCCGTACGTCTCCGTTTCAAGATGGCGAGGAAGTTTTAAAATGTCATGAATGAAGATGTCGGGGCATAAAAAGACGCTTTAGAAAACCTGAACACTCGAAAGAGCACATCAAGAAGGATTCTTAGAGGTATGTTGTGGAAAAATTCTGAAAACTTAAGCCAAATTTTAGCTCTAAACGTTTGAGAGAGTGAAGTTCACGATCGATCGATACGATCCAGGATAAACAAGTCAAGAATCCTCGATTGCTAACGTAATTCGTCACCCATGATATTAATACGTAATCAAATGGTACACTCGTGAAATTAGGGAATAATTTCACTTGCGTTTTGTCCAAATCCTAATAATTTCCCTCGCCTAAAGGCTCGGGGAAATTATTAGGATTTGGACAAAACACGCGTGAAATTATTCCCTAATTTCACTCGTCACCATTTGATTACACATACGAATTATTGTATTCTCTTCATATTTTTAATTTTGAACAAGCCCCAAATCTAACGTGTAAAATTCCGAAAACAGTAAGCCCCGGGGCTGATATTTTTCAAAGGCCCATTTGGGGGGGCTCATATACGGAGGAGAAATTTGCGTATCAAAATCGGCCGGGCTTATACTGCATGGGAGGGAAATTTACGTCTCCAAATCGATTGGGTTAGCTTATAGTTGGAGGGAAATTTTATGTCAATAATTTGCAGAGGGTTTTTACTGAAACTC